CTGTCCACACATGTTCCTGTCCCCATGTGTTCCTTTGAGACCATACTAAGGGTGCACTGATGGATGATCACCAATCTTTAAAAAGTCTGACCTGCCGGTTCCGATTTTGGCCTATACCAGTTTTTTAAATAACTGACACTGTCAAAAAAACATTTAAAGTGACAATATCATGTAAAATCAACTTTTTGAGTTTTATATCATGTTATAATGTCACACTCTCATAAAAAACATCCAAAGCCATGCTCTGACTCATTCATGCATGTTTGAGAAATCCTGCAGTGTTTTTACCCCTAATTTACATTACTTGCGTTCCGTCTCCGCTCTGCTGCGCAGGTCGCAGGCAGCTGTATGTTTCAAGTCCAGTTTACATTATCTCCGCTACGCTCCAGTCCGACAGATGTGCAGGAAGAAGATCGCACGATAAATTCAGTGATAAATGTGGAAATCACAGCAGAAAATCATTAATTCTGTGAAAGACGAACTCCAAACAGCTGAAAACAATGATATAAAGGCTTTTGTTATCTATGTTGAAACTGTCTCGCTGTCAGCTTTCTGAAACTTCTGATTTCAAAATAAAATCCACGTGTATCGTGTGTGTGCGCACATAGCTTCATGCTACATGTTTCCATCTGCTTCCCAAACAGAACSATACATTCTGACAGCATTTGTGTAGAAATATATCCGTATATTTGTTAATATAGCCGCAATTTTGACATTTTTCTGACAAATTATCCAGCCTAAAAGTGTCTTATTTTGAAAATATGCATGTTGTGCTAGTTTGTTTTCCTGTTGGTGTGATGTAATCAAAAATAGGATCTGTTCTAACTTTGACGGATTGCTGTCCGCTCACCTCCGCCCTGCGCAGCCGGTGTAAATACTCTCATTGATTATAATGGGTGTGTATTTGCTGCGGGGGTCGGACCACAGTGAAGCGGAGACGGAACGCATGTAGTGAAAATTAGGCGTTASGCAGCCATGCTGAGGAGCAAAACAACAGGTGGGGACCAGAAACACCTTTTGGGACCAGAAACACCCGTGGGACGTGTCTTTAAGCCGAGCTTCCTCATGGCAGAGTGCCCCCACTCCCCACACACCCCGCCCATGACTCCCGCAGGCTCTCGGCAGTAATAGAGCAAAGTGAAAGTGAAACTTAAACTGTCTGCTGCTCTTGAAGCGGCAGATTATTCTCTGTTATCAAGACAAAAYGAAGATAAGGAGACGTCGATTTTGGCCAGCCGAAGAGGGAGTTTTATTGAGTTCAGCAGATCGAAACAACCGACAGAAACATCCCAACTGAACTGACGTATTTAGAAACCAGACCCTTTTATACCCAAACTGTTTTCATAACACAAATTCTACGTAACCAGGAAGGGTGGTCACTTCCAAGAATTGGGCTGGAAATTTAAGACCACCCAATACACACTTATTAAATCTATTTGTAGACTGATGATCTCACCTTTTACAAAATGCTCTTACCAGATGTTTATACGACCCTTATTCTGACCTTTTGTCCCAGCTCCTAACAAGTACTGCTACAATCCTCAACAATCCTCCCTTTTTGAGTTTAACTCAAACTAAGGCTAACCTTTTTTATTTCATAGTGCTGCATGCTGGAGCCGAAAAACACGGGCTGGCCAGCACGGTAAAATCTCTCCACGGGACCCCCTCCCTCACAAGGGGCTCCTTTGGGCCAGGAGTGGCAGCACCCACCCATGGCTAGGGGCCTTTTCTGGCCTTTTAACAACTTCTCACTCAGTGAAGCTCTTTTCAGATTCAAAATACCTTTGAGGAAATGTATTTTCAGATGCCAATTAAACTGCCTCATAGTGACACCCCCCCCCCCCATGCTGAAATGGGCGACAGAAGCAGAAGGAGGTTCTTAAAGAGACAGAGGCCAATTTCAAGGTGTTTAGAAGAGGAAGTGATGAGAAGATAAGTTTATTTTCTATTTAAACATAAAAACAGCATTTTAATAACAACTAAAGCTGACATAGATACTTTATTATGGTATAGTATTTAAATATATGCCTGAGAAACACATAATATAGCCCCTTTAACAATACCTTTGAAACAATACAAACTTGTTTTAACTGGACATTAGTTAATGCTCACAGCACTAGGAAAAGGGGACAGTGGCTGATTTTCAGACCTTTGTGGAGGTAGAAGCCAGTCTTTTCCACCGATCTTATCTGTCGCCAATCTCCCAAATAAATCGATCAGACGATTTATCTGTGCACCCCTAGACCATACCAGTCCATTATTTACTTTGTAAAGTTTTAAAGCTGTTCCTTCCCCTTCCTTTTAGACCTGTCTGTTGTCAGAACTGTCCTGGCGATGATCGGAAAGTTTGGAATCACAGCCTCTCTGTCCATCATTTATGTCTACTCAGCAGAAATCTTCCCCACTGTCATCAGGTGAGTGTTTAACACTGCTTTGAGTTTCTCGTCCTAATAGCCTTAAGGTGGAATCTAATGTAAAAATTTCTGTTTCAGTCTGACTGAAATCTCAGTGTTTGTGACCAGTGAGCTGTAAAGCCAAGATTTAAGAGCCAGTTGTCAGAAATCACTGTTTCTTTTGCACGGCCCACCTCCATCCTCTTTGTGCCCACCTGGCAGCTTCTACCAGGTTTAGGCTTTAGTCTACACATGCACATTTGAAATGGACAAGCAGATTTTCAGTTTCCACATGTATCTTTTCTTATTTTTATTTATGATTTTTTTTAACTAACTACTTCTGCAGACTTTTTGCTATTTTAGCTGTTCGTAAATCAAATTGTTCAGCTCATTCAGGGGATGAGTGCTGGGACTTTCTGTATTTATAAGTTTTAAATGTTTTTTTTTTAATTATCAACATTACAAATGTTCTCCCAACAGAAACACAATGACATCGCTTCARTTCTTTCAAAAAATATAATTCTGTTTTTGATACTTTCAGCTTATATGTAGCTAGTATTTTGCTACTTTTTGGTTTTAGTTAGAGCTCATTTGTGTAGCCATTTGACTCTTTTAGCTTCTAGTTAGCCTTTGAATACTTTCAGCTTGCATTTTGCTACTTTTCGCTTTTAATTTGCTTTAATACTTTTATCTAATAGTTTGGTTCATTTTTCTTTTGATCATTAAATAGACTTTTAGTCAAGTCAACTTTATTTACACATTTAAGAACAACTGCTGTTGGCCTAAGTGCTTCACATGTTACAACTAGAAGAAAAACAAAAAAGCAATACAAAGTTAAGAACAAAAAAATATGAACATAAAACAAAACTTCAAAAGTGGAAAATAGACAACTCTATGGGGTGCTGTTTGTAAAGTTACACAGTCAAAAATTACCACAAATATTTTTGTTTTATTTAGCCTTTTATAAGA